CCACACAATTGCCATCATTTTCTGAAGCGTACGACACATACATAGTATGGCAGTCGTGACCACCGATTCATTTGTTTCAAATGTTTGCGAACTATAAATACACAGAAAATAAATTACTAATTATAATCATAATAAATAAAAACAATAATAAAATACTTACGCCTGAAGATCAATACCAAACAACTGTTCGCCGATAACATAGAGGCTATAAATGTCTGATTTGTGGTCATATTGTTTGCCCAAAAGCACTTCGGGTGCCATATATCCCAACGCACCGCAAACTGAGTGCTCGTATCGGCTGGCAGTGTGTCCGTCGATGTCGTGATCTGTGGCCAAACCAAAGTCACACAGTTTTACACAACGATTGGATGAATAGATCGGATCAATCAATATATTGTCGGGTTTGAGATCCCGATGAATGACCGGTGGATTGGATTCGTGGAGATATTGGACGCACTCTAAGAGCTCTTTGAATATTTCACACGAAATAAAGTATTCAAAGATATTCATCAAGTCTTCGGTTTGTCTCTCGAAGACAATGGCTTTGTCTTTGAGAACAGATTTAAAACTTTGTGAACAGAACTCAGTTTGAATGTAGAGATGATTGAACTCAAGCCATGAGTTGTAATATTTGACCACAAATTCTGAGTCTATTTTTGCCAAACTTTTCACTTCTTTTACAGCTTTTTGTTTCTTATCTTCATTTAAATCTATGAAAATATTGTATAAGAAATTTGTTTAACTTTTTTTATTTTGCAAAACAAATATTTATGATATTTACCTCCGAATTGCACTCTTTTAACGGCATATATCTTATCATCCAATCTATGCTTCACTTTAAATACAGTCCCAAAACCACCCGAACCTATGGTTGACATCTCAATGAATAGGTGTTTGTAAATACCATCACATGAATTACAATCACTCTTATCTTGACTTTTAATTTGACTTTTATTTTCAATTTTAATTTCACTTTCATTCGCTGTTAATATTGTTTTTTCATTCATTGGTTTCAAATTAATTGTATTGTAAGTGATTTGGTGTTCAGTGGCGTAAACGTCAACAAAATTATTATAATCTGTTTCAACCATTCGGTAGTTATTGTTGTATTTGAATACTTTATATACTTTATCATTGAGTAAAACATATATGAATTCAATGTGATTATAATTAATGGACGAATTAATGAGTTGTAATTCTTGTATCTGATATGGAGATTGTAGTTGTTTCGGAAAACTTACATAATTAAAACGCTTTATATCCATAAAGAGTATACCATTTGTCGTGAGAAAAAATGTGGTCCATTTCATTGATGTGATTGCCATTACATTAATCAAGTTTTTGTTTGATATGAGTTGAGGTTTCAATACTTTATTATCTGCTATATTGTGTCCCAATTGATGGCAATCGTTGTAACCCCAACTGAAGACATGTCCATCGGATGTGATGGCAAACGAACAGTCATTATAACAATAAACGGATTGTATTTTATTATTATTAAATTGTAATTCAATTGGTATACAATTCCAGTCACTATTACTCCCGCAACCAATTTGTCCGAAATCATTGCAACCCCAGGCATACACCCGACCATCACCGGTGAGGGCCAGTGTGTGCTCTGAACCACAACTAAGTTGTGCAATATTTGTACCAAGCACATTTGTCAAATATGATGATGTCGTTGGTTTTTGATATTGATTAGTAACATTGCGGGCCAATTGTCCATGTTGGTTTTTACCAAATCCAAATATCGTATTCCTATCATTCACTGCTAACACAAAATCACTTCCATTGACAAAGTATTGTATGTTTTGATTACATAATTCCGGAATCAGTTGCGGTGATAGTATAGGACTGTTGTGTCCAAACCCCAGACATCCCTTACTATTATTGCCAAAACCATAGACCATATCATCATTTGTCACGAATAATACATTATTTTTCGTATAGTTATCATAAAAAACATGTAATTTTGTAATATTTTCTTTAATATTTGTCGAAATCTTATCACAAAATGTAAACTTTTCTAATAATTCACACATTTTTACATAAATATCAAATTATTAATGAATATTAAAACACTAGCTTATAATAATTCATTGATTTAATTGTATAAATAATTAATAAAATTACACTTTTCGTTAAATGCTTGTTTAATCGTAAACAATACACTTGATATAGCAAACACATGCTTAAAACAAGTTAATGTTGAACTTTACACCCATAAAGTTATACCCAATCCCTTTGCTTACTATTTTAGTATACTGTAGTCACTACAGTGTAGTGCCATATGTCTGACCACATTATTGGTTACAAATAAAGCGCAAAAGTTAAATATTGTTTACATTACTAAATGATCATGATTAAATAAATAATCACTTTTTACAGACAATAAAATACACCATTCATATCGTTGACTTTGTAATTAATAAATATTTATGTGTCAACAAGAGTCCCATTTGCGGGTTAAATGTGCCATATTATACCGTACATGATTATTAATCATGGTAATTTTTATTATAAAACCTGTCTCATTCACATCATTTCAAATGTATAGCTATTAATGTAAAAATAAGTTTGAATAAAGTTATGAATATTAGATCCGAACCCAAGAGCACGGGTGACGGCGGGGGCGCCGACCTCACGCTCGACATCCGTATCAGTGATGCAATCGATGCGATACTCATTCCCAGTCATCACTTCATGTCTACTATTTGTTGTCTTTAATTCATATATAATTTAATAATTGTTTTAAATTTAGTAATTTATTTCAAAGTAATAAAGCTTATTGAATGAAAATTATAACTCATTCATTTACAAGCACTGTATCGTAACAATTTATTATTACTTTGTAAAACGTTGTAATTATTGTTGAATTTATTTAAAGCCTTATATAATTCATATGAACAATATTAAAATAAGTAATTTTCATTAATTGCAATAGATGTTAATTTACCAATATAATTGTGTATCAATAAAAATATTATGGTTAGTAAATAATGATTACAAGAATATGTATTAATAAATTTGCATTTGGAGAGAGAGAGAGAGAGAGAGAGAG